ATGCAGAAGAAGTACAGCATCTTTGAAGACACAAGGGGATCTCAACGATCCAATTCTCCGGCCACAATTGTGTTTTGGAGACTCCAATGGTGCTGGTCAAACAGGTGCATTCTCACCTCCAAACGCTTCTGTGTCCAAACAGACCACACTCCAAGGATCTCCAATAATAATCCAAACTTTATTAAAATCCACAATTAAATGTGAATATGTGAAGATACACCAACACCGCAAACCCCCAGTAAAGTGATTTTGGTGTACTGGTGGTTTGAGGTGTTGGTGTATATTCACTAGGGATGCTCCGATACCGGTATTTCGGTATCGAGTACTGATATTTTTTTTTCGCCACCTGGCTTCCTGGTTAGCCGGGAAGTCACACAGCGTGTAAAGTCTCGCCACCCAGCTTCCCAATTAGCAGGAAAGCCGTCCCCATGCTTCTCATCAATAGGTGACGAGTGAGCATGAAGCCAGCTTCCCGACCAATCAGAAACCCGGGCACCGCATCATTAAACGGCGCCTAGCTTCCTGATTGGCCAGCTTCCGACTAATTGTAGTTAGACAATTTTCCAGAGGCCAATTGCCTCATAGTTAGTAATTTGCTTCTAAATGGTTGCCTTAATCTGGCCATACACTGTTATGTTTTTTGGTTCAAATTGTAGGCTTGACAAAAAAAAAATGTAACCGATTCCTCCATCCAATCTAAACAGTGTAGATGGACAAATCTCCAGCTGGGCTACTGTATTCTGACAGTGGCAGATATGCTGCTGTCAAAATACCTGAACTGATTGGCTGCTGTCACTGTCATCCCCCCCCCAAAAAAATTTTTTTATTTTGGTTCAAGAATGCTGGATGGAAGAGTGCTTGCAGGGCCATTTACTGAGCGAATATCACCAAGTTCATGAAGAACTGGCCGAAATGTGAACAGTGTATGGCCAGCTTAAGTCTTCTGTGTTACCCAACCTATGTCATTGTATAAATATAGAACCATTGTTTGCTGTGATAATATCTTGTCCACTGTCTTAAAACCATATCTTCTAATAATGTATTCTATTTTGTTTCTTAAAGTCACCTATTGTCTGTGTTTACCAATAAAATGGTAATCAACACCACTGTTATATTTCCTTATCTAGTATCCAGGATGCCCTGACTACAGCATTCTGTCATTTATGGGTGGTTTTCATGGACGAACTATGGGTAAGAAGAACAAAGCCTTCTGCCAGTTGTCACCCTACCCCCCTTCCTCCATACTGATTCTTCATATCTAATTTTAGTAAATATACTAAACATATGTAGCTAAAATTTAGTGCATTGAGCTGTTCGCTGCTGAATATCCGTGTTTAATCCAGTATTGAGCTTTTGTTTTTGGTCCTCCTGTGAAGAACCATGATATTCTTACATATTGGAAATCTGTGCTCTGTAGATAAGCACAGATTTGCTTCCACTGCCCTGTCTCTCATTATTGATTTATTTTACCAAGAGGCTCACAGGCTTTAGAGGTCATAGCAGTAAAAGTAACTGAAGTAATCAGGGTTATTAAAAGCACTCACAATGTGATTTTCTGTTGTAGGAAATTCTCTTTTATTTTATTTGAATGGAATATAATAAGTTAATTTACATTATCTTCTAAAAATATGCATCTGATAATCTTTGGCTAACAAATATGTTAAGCCACTGACTTCCATTTTTTTGTTTATCTGCTCTCTCCTAGTTTGTTTTTTGTTTTAGTTCTCTCCTAGTTTGTTTTCATCAGATCATTAAAGTGAATGATTTATTTTAACGGCTACAAAAAAAATTCTATTAAAACTGTTCACTTCACAAATGACATTTTTTTTATCATACGTTGAGGGATTTCAAAGACAATTGGGTTATACTGTTGCTTTTGGGAGGTTGGGACTCTGTCAACGTTAAGATAAAAAACGTTATAGCAGCCCCTGATGACCCCCCCTTTAACAACAGTTATGCATCACTTTTTTGCTAGAGTACTAGGAGGTTGGATTCCTTTTCTTCAGCTCTGCTGAAATAAAGCCTTTTTATTCTTCTTTTTTTTTTTTTTCTTCATTTTAGATTTTCTTCAATTCAGAGACTTGATAGACAACAGATTTCTTTTTTTTTTTTATTCCTGACTTCATTCAAGACTTTGAAATTTCTGCTTGTGCTAGTCTCTGCAAAGCGGCTATCCAGATGGGCCTAGCCTCAGCTATAGCTTTTGAGGCCGGACCTGGACCCTGCTAGACTGAGCACATTACAGGCCAGTCCCCTACTCAGAGTTTTTCCTTGCGTGACAGATTACTGGAATACTATTTAAAAGTTGCCCACTTCCAAGACAGACCATGTGATGCAACAGGCAATTGTACAGCAGCTTATTGTATATTAAATTGCTCTATTTGTGATTACCGTATCAGCAAGGCTGTCTGGGTTGCAGGTGGCCTTTTAGATTAAATGAAATGTTGGTGATCTATTACAGCAGAGAGGAACTTGGAGTAGGAAGCTGAAGGAGACTTGTAAATGTTGTCAGTCTCATGAGAGCCTCTGATTTTGCAATTTATGAAAATGGCCTGCCAGGGGGGTACGCAAGTGAAAACTGGTTGGAAAAAACTGCAGTAGCTCATTGTCCGCAAATGATATAATGTATTTAATTGTTTTGCTTTTAATATCGGTAATCATTATGCATATTTTTGTTAGTGTACTGGTTTTAAGTGCAATATAACCATTATTTACTTTTGTACTACATATTTATCATTTATTTTGACATTTATAGGTTGTCTAGCAACAACACATTCTAAAGCTATTCACAAGCTAGATATTCCTTCTTTCGACTGGCCTATTGCCCCATTTCCAAGACTAAAGTACCCATTGAAGCAGTTTGTGAAAGAAAACCAGGATGAAGAGGCTCGCTGTTTGGAAGAGGTATATAGTAGTATATAGGATTGAAGCTAATGGTTCGTGATTACCAGGTGATGACATCACCCAAACCTAAACACTCAGTCTTATTCAGAAATACACTGGCACTTCCACAATGAACAATTTAATAATAATAATTTAAAAGAATCCTCTCAACTTCCTATTAGTTGTACACAACTATAACTGCTATGGGAGCACTTTTGTCCCAAAAAGAAATGGCTGCTCTTCTATATAGATAGATATACACACATATGTGTGTGAACTCTTAGACCATTTTTGTTATGCAGCTACATTCAGCTGATTGGACACTGACAAATTATTTTGTGTGCAAAATTTTTCAAGCAAGTTTGCCCCACTGCTGCACCTCCAGCAGCTATCTGGATCAGTTTTCACCACAGCAGAGCCATGGTGAAGCATACATAGGCCCTGCTGGTACCCTCCATGTCACTTAATGCAGTGTGTGTGGTAGACCTTGAAGCCCGCGTCTCGATGAGTCTGCCCACCGAAAGAGCAAAGATTAGATGGCATGTCCTACCTGACCACTGCACATCCTGGTAAGGACCAAAATTCCCTCAGTTAATCTACTGGCATGCCTCTAAGGTAGCCTCTTTCCAAAGCTCCCTCAGTTAAGCCACTGACATGCCTCCTAGGTAGCCTTAGTATCCTATAAGGTTATTTCTGAGGCTTCAGCACATGTTTAGAGTGACACTTTAGGTCGTTGTCCTCCTGAAATTCTTGCCTCTTCTTATTCACATGATCAAACTGGAGGACATTCTGGTGATTTTCATTGTCCCCAGCTGGCCCAGGAGTCCCTGGTATGTGGAAATTGTAAAACCCCTGGCAAATTCTCCATGGGCTCTACCAGACCGTCCAAAACATCTGTCACACGGACCAGTATTCCTGCTTCTCAGTCACTGGTTTTAATGGCATGGCTATTGAAGCCCAAGTCTCTAGGGATGGGGCCTTTTAGATGCTGTCATCTGCACTCCTTAAGACTAGGAAGTCAACTTCAAATAAGGACTGCCATCGCAACTGGAAGGTAAACTTAATGCAGTGTGAGGACAGGAAGTTCTATCCTCGGAAGTACTGTATTGAACACATTGTATCCTTCCTCCAGTCTAGTCAGGACCAGCTTTTAGATTTGAGTACCATCAAGTGCCAGATATCTGCATTGGCGATTGCCCTCCAGAGGCCACTTCCCTTTCACTTGTGCAGGATGTGGTAAACATTGATTCCCTTGTTTGTGCTTCAGCAAGTACAGTATTTCTCTGCCCTTACTTGTTAGGTGGCCTTCCCCATTGCCATCACTTCTGCTAGACATGTTTCTGAATTAGCTGCCTTGTTGTGCGAAGAGCCCATTCTGGTCATCCACAAGAATAAAGTTGTACTGGGGCCTAAGGCCTCCTTTCTCCCAAAAGTGGCCTTTGCCTTCCATCCTAACAAGGACTTCATATTACCATCCTTGTGCCTGTTCCTAAACACCCTAAGCAAGTTTCACTACACTGTTTAGACATAGTTCTGTAACGTTTGCTATTCACAAGTCTGACTCTCTGTTTGAAATTCCTGGGAGTTGGGAGAGATGGCTGTATACTCCACCAATGCTACGTGGATTTACTAGGCCAATTTGCAGGCCTACAACCTGAGAAGAAAAGTTATTTAATTTCCATTGTCCGGGGCATACCCGGTACTCTATTAAAGTATTAGTGCTTCTTAGTCTTTTGAACACCAAGCTTCTATGTCCCGGATCTGTAAGGCCATCACCTGGTCCTCCATGCACACTTTTGTGAAGGTCTGTCATGTAGATGTTTTGGCCTCTGCAGATGCCGGTTTTGGCTGGAAGTTTCTTCAGGAGGCCCTGTAATCCTTGGGCTCGCCCCTGATCTATTTCTCTTTTTTATAGTTCTTGTACCCTGTTGGGATTATTAACTTGGGCAGGCTTGCTGCTGTTTTTATTGTGTTGCACACCTCTCTGTATGACTATTTTTTGAATGTCCCCGTGCTCTAACTTAATTGTTAACTGCCTGTGTCCGGTGATATTCGATCAAGAAAAAATCATTTTTGTTCTACCTGTAAAATCCATTTCTTGCAGTACATTACAGGACACAGGATTCCCCTTCCTTTGCATTTTGTAATGTACTCTCTACTGCTTTCTACAAAAATGAGGTAGGCTAGCAGTGGGAGGGGCTATGCAGGGCTGTCCTGCAGCTTTAATTGATTTCCAAGTGTCCAGGCTCCTGAAGGTAGCTGCATAACCCAGTGGTCTAGAAATTAACTCAGTGTGTCCTGTGAGGCACACCAAAAAACTGATTTTACAGGTAAGACATAAATCCTGTTTTATTTATATATATATATATATATAT